TTTCTTTACATAACAAGAGTGGCCATCATAATTTCCACTATTGAAAATGACACAAAGTAGGGCTTTGCTCTGGAATTTGTTAGAAATCGTTTAAACTTATTGTGAAGTCTTTCCCCATTTCATTTGCAGTGGGAGGCCCGAACCAGTCCTCTTATGATGATGCCTATTTTCCTGAACCAGAAATTATAAATGGTGGCTTAAGTGGCACAGAACCAGAGTGCTGGTGATGATGGTAGGAAAAGATGGGAGACAAATGATTTTTTTTCTTAATTTAAATTATTTATTTATAACTCGATTGTACTTTTTTTTTTTTTAATTTTCAGACTACAGTTAAAATTAGTTCTTTATTTTTTTTTTATCCTTTTTGTTTTATTTAAATATAGGGGTATATTCATCATTTCACAAGACTTTATTAAGAAAATGAAAGAAAAGAGAGTGTTATGCACCTCACATGTCATATACGAGGATTTTCAGTCAAAATGAAGGAATAAAGGCATTCGAAATAGAGACAAATGTTATGAGAGTTTTGTTTCAATAGGCCTGTTCCTTATAATGACACGGATTTAGAGGTGACATGTTCTTATGCTCCTGTTTGATATTGATTTAAATAAGATTTTAATTTAAGTCAAAGTGAAATAATCAATATTAATCATATCTTTCATGAGATTCCACAACTTTTCAATTACACATTTCAAAAATTTCTATTAAAATCTACTAAAAATTTAATTTTAATCTCTCCCAAATAAGGGCTATATTTGTTGCTCGACTGATTTGTGTTGTGTTATTAATAATTGTCCAAATTTTCTTTTAAATCATTATGCTAATTAGCCTCCATTTGGCCCTCATTAATTTTCTTTCCATTACATTTTATTTTTCTTTTTTCTATTTTCAACTACATAATCTTCCATAAAATAATATTACACATAAATTGCAAATTTTTCCTTCTTTTTCAACCACTCATTTTTCAAAAAATAATATTCCACTCATTTTCATTACCACAAAACGAGAGCCAATCGGAAGAGTTGACGCCATATCTATAGTAAATCCCCAATTTTCTTGTAGGTTTCCTATCACACCAAAAAGAAAGGAAGGAACAAAAATGTTGCCTTCCCATTGGAGTCTTTGCGCGTGGGGCCAAAATGGCCTTGCATGTGCTTCACACCATTGGATTATTGATGTAGTTATGAGAATGAACAGTTGCGTCTTTTTTTCCACGCAAGAATCTAAATTATTTCGAGACATTTCCACACGATTGTCCCCCACACCTGTATATCTTGCTTCGTTCTGACACTTGGCATTCACTTTTAAATGAATTTTCCCCTCAATTTCCCAAACCGTCCTTGATATGTTCTAGCGTTCATTGCATCAATTGTAGAGGGTGGTCGAGCGTAATTTTGTCCAATATATTTTGACTTGTACAATAATTGGAAATTGAAGTCTGACAAAACAACTCAACTTCTGTATTTTTTTTGTATAGATTCTTTTATAGTAGAATATT